CCCCAAAACCCCAAAACCCCAAAACCCCGCATTCATAGATGTTCAAGTGTTTAGTTGAAAATTAAAATAGGTGTTATGTAATAATTCATCTAGCAGTTTTAGAGCCATCCTTATTTTGAACATTAAAGAACTGTTGGGAACTTTAGCTTTACTTTTCAAATTAGATTCTCATCTTTTTGCTTGTAGATGTTACTTGAATTGCATCGACTAACATTTGTCTTACTTTATTTTCAGTCTTTTAAGTGTGCTTTAATCTTTCAATTATTGCCTACTCTCTTTGCTCTAGTTACTTTAAAATTTGGTCAGCCTATGAAAGCTTTTGATTCTCCTATTCAACTCTATTTTCAAGATTTCCTTTTCCCATTTCTTCTCTGTATTACCTAAACTTTTCAAGATTTGCTTTAGTCTAGCTTTCAGTTTCTTTTACCTTATCTCTTTTTGTTTTATTCTCCATCTTAAACAACTGTGAATTTTCCTTAATCACATGCTCATTCTCAATTTTCATCTATTTCCTATATCTTGCCTCATTAATCAACCTTTCCTGAATTTCCTTCTGTTTAATCATCATTTCCTTCTTTATTTAATCTTTCATGAACTGATTCTTAGATCTTTACTCCTCTAATTCTCTTTCATAGGCTTCTTGTTATTATAGCTTTTCCCTTTACTTTTAGTCATTGATTTCTTTATTTGACATAATTTCAGTTGCTTTTTTCTTAGTAAGATCTATCTTTTTCTTGATCTTCTCTTCCTCTTACTCTAGTAGCTTAATCCTATTCATCATTAATTGAACCTCCACTTCTTTCTACTATCGTTCTCTTTATTTTATTAACAGATCGTTAGAAACAGCTAAGTCATTCACACTTGTATTTTAAAGTGGAGAGGGACTTTGATTTACATTAACCATTGATTTGACATGCTTTAAATCTTATGTTGTTGATGCTCTGACTTAACTATCTGGTTCGCCAACTCTTGATTCTAATTATGATTCTCGAGCAGATTTAATTATTTGTTAAGTTTAAGTCTCCTAAATATTTCCACTCAATCCACCAATAGTGGCTTTCTAATTTTGTATTTTATTATAATTTTGTTTGAGCTAACTATCTCTGATAGACTAAGCCCCACTCAAACGAGAAGTTGAACTATTCTGCCCATATTTATTTCTTTGTAATTGCTTTATTTGCATGTCATAAACTCTGCTTGTTTGATTGCCCTTAAAAGTTTTGTTCTAAAATGATTATTATTATGACTTGATTTCCTCCTCTCCCGTAAAGCCATTAAAGTCCTCATGATTATCATCTTATTATGGATTTGATAAATCATAGTCTCTTGCCTATTTTTCATCAGTAAATAGAATTACTTACATATTTACTGCTAATAAGATAGCCCGCAGCGTTAAGTTTTGGTTGAAGATGATCTTTATAAGATAGTTTATTAACTGGCTTGACTTTGTAGACTTTAGGTGCCATTTGAGTAGCTTAAACTTTTAATGGTGCCAGCTAGAATTGTCTATTTTGAGATCACTTCTTTGATTAGCGTGTGTTAGATTTAGACCTAAGATTAGTTTGGTTTATGGGTTTAGAAGGTGGCGATGGTTATTCAAATTCTTAATTTATAATCTACAGTTGCTGTTGATAATCTACTTCTTCTTATTGTTAATGTTCCATTGTTACAATTAAATTTTAAGAAATATAAATATTTTAAATCTATCAAATCATTACAGCAATAAATATATCCAGTAACTTATTAATGGTCTTCAATCAAACACTTTTCATTATTCAAAGAGTTATCTCATTCTATTATAATTACTCTAGATTAAGCCTTTTGATGCTACTATTTTCAAATCCTCCCTTTGACTAATTAGTTTGTCTTGATTTCTGATCATTTTTAAGAAATTGATGAATACTAAAATTTTGCTTTTCATCAGTTATAGATTTAGTGGCACCAGTTGAAATTGTATTAAATGATGAGCTAGTGTTTGGTCTTTAAACTCTGACCATATTTTATATTGGTTTCTTTTAAGAATTGTTTGCATTACTCAAAGAATCTTTCTGATTATTTATTAATATGACATCCTAATTTGTTTCGCTATCATTTCTTTTGAAAGCATTTACCGAATTTTCTCTTTAGGAATAATTGTAGTTTATTCCAGGTTATTCTAAGAAACTATTATTAATATTTTATCTTATTGACCCAATGAATGTTTTATTTTGCATCAACTTCTGCTTTGGAGGATCATTTATTTTTTCATCTAGATAATTCTATATCATTTGTTTTGAGTAGTAAGTCTACTTCGAAATGTTTATCTTTGGGCTCTGTAATTACTAGTCTAATGTATTGCTGTTGATCACCTTCAATCTTCTTTATATATTTTCGTTTCGTTTTTTATTAGCCATAGTTTAGCCAGATGAATTCAAACCCTAATAGCTTCTATTTCCTATCATAGAAAGTTTCTACTTCCCTTTTTTCTCTTAATATAGTTTATCAATCAATTAAGCTTTTTCAATATACTCTTTTTCATAGTTATAGTTTAGTATATTTTTAATATCACCTCCAGTTTAATCTGCTTCGAAAACCTTCTTTCTTAAATGATCTGATGGAATTCCGAAAGCACCTGCTGATTTCAGTTTTCTTGATAATTCTGAAGGAGTAAGCTCACTCTTAAAATTTTACTGAGCTAATATCAACTTCTTATTTGGACTTATTGATTCATTTTATCTATTAGATGCATTATCCTAGGTGGATGCTCTAGATTTTAAACTTGGAACTTTTTATTTTCTCAAATTTTTCTGTCTTATTTTAAATTCTTTAAGCTACTTGCTAATAAAGATTTCCTTTTCTTCACCATCACTCTATTCTATAGTCGAGCCATTTAAGCCTGATTAGGATTCTTTCAATCTTATTTTTTTAACTACAGAATCGACGAATGGATCAATTTGCCTCCTTCTTTCTTCGCATAATTCACAGAAATCATTGTAAGTTACAAATCCATCGAAATCTGAATCTAATTACTTAAACACATTCTATACTTAATAGCGATTGAATCTAATCTAGAGCTAGTCAACAATATATGAGAAGTCAGCAAAAGATATTTTCCCAGTCGACCTCAAATCGAAAAATCTAAAGGCTATAGCAACCTTTTTAAATCTTTCATCTATTTTATCACAAAGTATTTATAGACAATCTTGAATATTCATCACACCAAATGTTGATCTTGAATTTGTATCTGATTCTTTGATAGATTATTATGTGCTATATGAATTCAAAGACTTTGACCTTGGATCTTGGATAGTCAAATTATCATACAGCATTGAAGATTTCCCAATCTTGTTTGATGACATTATATAGTAAAGATCTTTTGATGAATTCTTTTCCTTCCTAAAGTTGATCACATTTTAATGAAGCTTACTTTTTTATGAATGGATACTGATGATATAAATCAATCAGCAAGTTCAATTTATAGACAGATATCATTGAATCTTCTTTTTGATAATCTTCAAGACAGCAATCACTAATAGTTTAATAAATTTTATCTCCCTAGTATAATTGAATCTTCATGATTGTTTGATAAAATTTCCCAAAAGTCTCTTGTGTAATAATCTATGAATTATTGCTTTCTTTGATTATAGTCAATCTTATGAAGTTTAATTTTCTATAATCTACATCATATTAGTGCAATATAGATATTGTTTGGACAAATTTCTAAAAATCCAATTTGTTATTTTCGACTTATGAACTTCCTTGAGTAAAATTCAGCATTAGCTGTTTCAAAATACTTGCTAAAATTTATATGAATTTCAATTAAAATACGCCTATAGGGTTAGCTAGCTTTAAGAGTAGAATTAACTTGATTTGAAATAGTATGTGAAGTCCCAGGCCTGTTCTAATTTCTGCTTTGGACAAAATAATCAGGAAACTCAGCAACATTCTTCCTGAAATATCTTTCTTTGTCTTAAATTCCGTGATGGCCAAGAACCTAAATTATTGCTAATCAATATAAAATGTTTACATTATTATCTTTTTTAGCTGAAAATTCATATTATTTTGTACCTCTAAGCTAAGATGATTGAGTTCTATTCGTCAAAAAGCTTGAATGGTGGTGAGTAGTAATAAGCTAAGAGTTATATTAATTTTCAGGTTCTTAATGCTATTTATGATTGTCCCTTGACAATTATGATATTATGGAGCTGTGCTTCTCATTAGATCTCATGCTTAATTAAGTTCTTAGCACTCTCTATTAGTTTTAAGATTCAAGGTTCTCTTTTATTTCAGTATTTTAAGGTTCTAATATCCACTTATAATCATCATTTTGAGTGGAAAACTTTAGAGCTTTCAAAACATCTGCATACTTGATGCTTTGATTTTTATCTCCTTATTAAAACTTTCTCTCTATTTGATTTATAGTTTGCTCATCTAATTTAAAATCAAGACAGTCTAGTAAATTCAAGAACACTCTTTTTCTTATCATCCCTTTATTTTCTAATAGAATGTCATGCATTTTGATAACTTACCATCATCAATTTCTTTTATAGCACTAAGCAGCTTTTATTTTTTTACATCTGGATTTGCTACTGTCGAAGTCGTCTTCCTACTGTAGATAGAAGCAGCTTTAACTGAACTGTACTTGCTAATCTAGATATTTTATTTACTAGGAAATAATAATACTGTAGTTAATCTATCATCTTCTTGGGTTCCTTACTTAAAAGGAGATCTTCCTAAGTTTGTTAAAGTGTCTGAATTATCAAGATTTGTATTCATTTATATTTTGCTGTTATATTACTACTAACACTAATTAAATAATCAAAATTTTACATTTAGGGGTTTTGGGGTTTTGGGGTTTTGGGGTTTTGGGG